CAGGAGCCACCCACCGCCTGAAATACGATGCTCTTTTTTTCCCTCTGCACGCCCCATTTTTGGAATCAGGGAGGAAAGTGTTTTTGGGTGGCAGCTCATGGGACGTAAGGTGCAGGGGGATTGCCAGGAAGCCCGGCACCGTGTTTATGAGATGGCAGTGTCCTCTTCTGCCCTCATGAAAATCATCCCCCACCCTACCCCACCCACTCCAGTTAAATGTGCATAGGGTGATAGGGTTTGTTTTAAACGGATAAGAAGATCTGTGCTACTCGTTGTCAAAATCCGAGTGGAAGTGAGGATGCCGCTGATCCTGATGCTGGTAGGCAGAGGCAGAATTTGTTTTTCTTGCTTTCCCTCCCCAAAAAGTAAGGTGCATCTTATAGTCCGGTGCGTCTTATAGTCCGAAAAATATGGTAGTGGACCAGGAAAACACTGTGGATGTACTGTAGTATATTTAAACTTCAGTAAAGCATTGACAAAGTAGACCACCACCACATTTTGGTAAGATAGGACAATGTGGGTTAGACAGTACCACTACAAGATGGATTCACAGTTAGCTGACAAACTGCACTCAGAGTATAGTCCTGAATGGAACTATATCTACATGCAGGGAAGCATACAATGGGGTACTTCAGGAGCTCTTCATAAATTATAAACATCTTCATAAATTATCTAGATAAGACGATAGAAAGAATGCTTATCAAATTTGCAGACAAAATCAAATTGGGGGGAATTGCTAACACTTTGAAGGATAGACTCAAGATTCAGAAGGATCTTAACAGATTTGAGCATTGGGCCCTAGCTAACAAGATGCAGTTCAGTGGTGAGACAAATAAGATCCTGCACTTTGGCAGGAAAAAACCAAATGCACAGGTATAGAATAGGCAGTACTTGGCTCAATAATAGTAACTGTGAGAGGGGTCTAGGTGTCCTAGTGGAGTATTGCTTAAATATGAATGCTGCCAAAAAAGCCAATGCAGTCCTAGGCTTCATCAACAGAGGGATGGCATCAAAATCACAAGAAATGATAGTATCATTTTATACTATACTAGTGATGCCACGCTTGGAATACTGCATCTAATTTTCGTTATCGTGATACAAAAAAGAAAGAATGTAGAGAAGAGCAACTAATATAGTAAGGAGTCTACTGGATAAATCATATGAGGATCAGTTAAGGCAGGGGTGTCCAAACTTTTTGCAAGGAGGGCCAGATTTGGTGAGGTGAAAATGTGTGGAGGCCGACCATTCAGCCTGACATTCTTTCAACCATTAACATTAAATGCAAATGAACTATTTTAAGACTAAACAAATAACCACACTGATGTGAAGGGTGATACTGAGATCTTGACTGCATTATATAGGCCAGGTCTGGCTCAAAAACAGTGGTTTTGATGCGCAAGATGTCATGCAGTTAAAAGTCAATTAGGCTCGTCCTCACACAGTTCTTGTTAATATTCATAACCGAGAATGTCTTCTCGCACAAGTATGTCGAATCAAACAAGCTCAGCATTTTCTTAGCAAAAGTTCGAATCTCTTGGAACCTGTCTTTATCCAGCTGGCGGTAAAAGTTGACAAGAGGGAGCTGTTGGTGCCAACTGCGACACTCGGCATCACACTGCAGCTCAATGAGCTCCAGCTGCAGGTGGTCTGGAGCATCATCAGGGTCCACAGAGAAAGGAGAGGAAAAAAGCGTGATCTCCTTTTCAATAGCTGCAAAATCCCGAAAGCACTATTGAAACTCCTCAGCCAGAGATGAGATGTCTGCTTCATAACTCCTTATTTGCACACTCATATTGTTCTGTGGAAAACTGGTCATTATTTCCTGCAGCAATGGGAAATGTGTGGTATTGGGCTGCAGGTGCCTTTGGAAAAGTAGCAGCTTGGTCCCAAAGGCTTTGATATGTGAATACAGTTGGTTTACCACTGCATTTTGCCCCTGAAGGCTTGTGTTCAGCACATTTAGATGTTGTGTTATGTCAACTAAAAATCAAAAATCAGCCAGACAGACAGGAACAGATAGTTCTGATATCGGTTGTCCCTTTTTTGCCAAGAATTATCTGATTTCCTCCCTAAGAGAGTAGAAGTGCTGCAATGCAGACTCCCGACTGAGCCATCTTACCTCGTTGTGATACACAACATCTCTGTATTCAGTCTGGATGTTGAGTAGAAACTGTTGAAACTGGCTGTGGCACAGGGCTTTGGAGCGAATATAATTAACAGCCTTCATCACCAGTTTATGCCTCAGGTTCCTCAGGTTCCATCTGAAGGCCAGGAGGAACAGCCTGGGATGTGCCAGGAGGAAGGCATATCGGAGCACCAATTGATAGGGAGCGAGGATGATGAATCCTGGCTTGATCCCAGGCAGCATCAGAGGGAGAAGTGTGCACAGCAACGGAAGAGGCATGGGAGGGCCAGAGATTGAGCTGAGTCACAGAGCCACGCCCCACCAGGAATAAAAGTGGGTGGGATTGCTCTTCAGGCTTTGTAACGGATAAAGTCAAACCCTGAAAGTCACATCGTGATCTCTGAAATTCGGCTTGGATATATTTTGGACTGAACATTGACTAAACTCTTGACTCGTGGATAATTTGTTGCTCCTGGAACGGACTGAAGATAAATCCTCTTCTGCTTTATGGGAGTGAAAACGGTCTTGGCAGGCATTCGGCAGTTTGCTGTCAAAACCTTGGTCTGCCAAGAATTCTAATCTGTTTACCTAATAAAATATTGGCAGGCGTGCTTGGTATTACGTTTGCCTGCGTGAGGAAGGGGGACAGAACATTTATATTATTGTCTACTCCTCTCAAAAAAATCAATAACTGAGCGGTGTGAGATGCATCTGTGCTTCTGAAACTCCACTCCTTTTGCCTCTGTCTCTTAATATCAGATGAAATGTCTTCAATTCACCGTACCAGTGTTACAAGCCAGGCAAACATTGGCAAACTCTTGCTTCTTCTCAGGACAAATTTTCTCCACCATTTTCATCACACAGTCTTTAACAAATTCACCCTCAGTAAAAGGTTTGCAGTGCTTGGCAATCAGTGTTGCCACCTCGTAGCTTACCATTGTGGCATTTTCATTTGACTCATGAGCTCTTGTGAAAAAGCGCTGCTGTGCTGTTAAAGCAGCTTCCAGTTCCTTCCATTTTTCACCACGTTCGTTCCCAGTTAGCTTGTTGTAGTTAGCATGTTTCGTCGGTAGTGCCTCTTGATATTGAATTCCTTGAAAACAGCCATAGTTTCTTGGCAAATCTGGCAGACACCGTTGTTTCGTATTTCAGTGAAAAAAATACTCCAATTTCCACTTGTCCTAGAAGCGGTGGCCCTCGCTGTCAATTTTCCTTTTTGTAGTTACAGTCGCCATTTTAGAAATGGGCACACAAGCTCACAAGGGTCATGCGGCGAGAGTGCTGACTCAGGTCTACTGCCATCTTCTGGTGAAAAATATGGCTGAGATGCTCTATAGAGCAGGGTGGCTGTGGAGTAGGAGGCAGCAGGGGACAGCTGCGGGAACCGCTGTGTGGTGAAGGGAAAAACGCCAGCCGTCAAGGATGAGTGACAGACTGAGCCGGCGGGAAGAAGAGGCTGTGGGCCACTTGAAATTTGAACACGGGCTGCAATTGCCCCTGGGCCGGACTTTGGACATGCCTGGGTTAAGGGAACTAGGTATATGTAGCCTAACAAAGAAAAGAATTAGGGGTGACATGATAACTATCTTTCAGTATATGATGGGCTGCCACAAAGAGGTAGGGTTGACTTATTTTCCAAAGCACTTGAGCGCAGGACATGAAGCAGTAGATTGAAGCTCTTCAGAAGGAGCTCTAACCTGAAACTAAAAAGTTCCTAATAGTGAGAATTAACCAACGGAACAGCTTGCCTCACAGAGTTGTGGGTGCACTGTCACTGGAAATTTTCAAGAAAGGATTGGACAACTATTTGTCTGGGATGGTTTAGGGACTCCTGCCTTTGGGCAGGGGGTTGAACTAGAAGACCTGCAAGGTTCCTTCCAGCCCTATGATTCTATGAACATTCTGAGTCCTGGTTTCCTACAATATTCCAACAATCCTGATAGGAATCTTGCATCCTCTTGGGCCAATGGGGCGGGGGGGGGGGGGGGGGAACTCCTGCTTTAGAGAATGAATGGCAGGGTAATCAGACCAGCAGCCTACCTGCTAGAAGGAGAAATAAGCAATTATCATGGATTACATTTCATTACCCTGCTATACCAACTAAGCAACAATTAGAGCACTAACAGGGCTACAACTACAACCAGACTGGGTTGAAGGGAAGACTATCTGGGAATCTGAACTACTCAGGTGTACCAGGGAATTTATCTACATGCATTAAATAAATTGAACTTTTAAGTGTTTGGATTTCAGTGTAAAAGCTCTTATCCCTCTGGATTGTACCGATTTGTATAGTTTTTTTTAAAGAATAACTCAAAATATCAACTTATATGTGAATTTATATTTTTAATTTATTTGTGCAACATTGTGACTCACCTTCCACTATTATCTGCACATGAACACACCTACATGTATATCCGGCACTGTGGAACTCTGCCCCTTTAATAACAGAATACAGTAATGGAGATATTGTTAAATGCAAGATGGACTTAATCGCTACATATCCCAAATAAGTGAAAGAACAGCCCGTAAAAAAGATTAAATCAAAACAGGCCGGGGGATAATTCTGCCTTTATAGTGCCCCAACTGGAATATAATAGCCTATCATCCTGGAAACTGCAAAATTCTAGAGAAGTTAAATTGGAGTATTGCAAACAAAGTATTATGAGAACTTGTTTCTCCTCCATTCATTTTAACAGTTTGCAAGACTGAAAAGCCACCAACACTAAGGCAATCATGTCTACAGCGTTTGAGCTGCAGAAATCCGGACGTCAGAATGACAGCAGAGCACCCATAGAGGATCAAGAAAGAACGAACATTAGAGCCAGAGGAAGATCTCGCGGCGCCCACAGGAACCTCTTTCTGCTCTGGGCGGAGCTAATTCAGGTTCTCCCTGGCGCGGGCAGGTGCTGGACTTCCTGCTAACAGGAGGAGGGTGATTCGGCTGAGCGGCTGCTGTAGGGTCTTACTGCCTTGGCCCTTTGATTGCCGAATCAGCTCTCAGAGAAGGGTGAGCGCCTGCCCGCTTGCAAGAAAAGAGCCTTTTCGAAGGCCGCTGGTGGGGGATTTGATCGCTAATCGTCGTAAGCACGTTTTCTTTGCCAGTCCTTCCCCGGGGAAAAATTGCTCCTTACCACACCTGTGAGACTGAGGCGGTTGAACTCTTGAATCGTCACCGGAATCGTCCCTGCAGACTTTAGCTCTGACTGCTCTTTACAAAGCCTTCTGCGGGAGGTCTGGAAGCGCTTTCATATTGTTCCCGACTAGTCAAACGTATTTTAAAGTACTATTTGGTGAGAGTGCAGACAGGCTGTTTCTCACAAATTATACCGCGCCATTGCTTATTTCTGTCCTAAAGGAGTACATTGTTTGGGGCCAAATTCTTCCTCTCTGGGCTCTGCTTTGAACTTTCTCGCTGCAAGGAAATTTCTGTTTAGTTGGGGATAGGTTGAATGTGCTGTAGATGTTTAGGGCTTGTAGCTATATATGGCGTCCTGAGCCTTCTCATTATGGGGGAAAGTATCTTTCTTTTAAACGAAATATAGTGAAACTAGAATATTATGCAGCACACAATTGTTTCCTTCAAGCAAGTAGCTCCAAACTTGTATAATATTTCAGGAACTCCCAGCAAAAGAGAAAAAAAAATAGGCCTAAAGTTCTATACTAGTCAGGCTTCACAGTTCTGGGTTTGGTGTGATATGGAAGCGCAGAAGACAGCCGAAAGCAAGACCATGATAGTATTTAAAGTTTAAACTAGGAGAACAAGAAAAAGCTGAACTGTTTTGCTTGAAAGATTGCATACAGAGAGAAAGCAACTTGCTATGTTTTTCTTTTTATCTGTTTTTCTGTACCCAGATTTTGAATTGAATTTGTATTTCGTATTTGAATACAACTTAAATTAAAACTTGTTTAGTTACTAGGATATTGAGAAGAAGACAAAGAAGGCATAGGAAACAGCTGCCTGCAATGTTCTTTATTTTTTGTATCCTGCCTTTATTTTATAAATAACTCAAGGGGTTGAATTTACCTAATATTCTTTCCTCCTTTTATTTTTCCCACAACAACCTTGTGAGATGGGTTGGGCTGAGACAGAGTAATTGATTCAAAGTCATCCAGCCCACTTTCGTGCGTAAGGTGGAACTTGAACTCATCACCTACCGGTTTAATCTACCTTTGCCAATATTTCAGATACAAGGATTTACATTGCTTGTTTTACTGAATTTATTCATAGTGGTTATGGTTACTGCTACTAGGGCTTGGTGAGATTTGTAAGAGAGTAAGCTTGAGGAAAATTCAATTCAAAACTCAATACCAAGAGCCTTGGTAGTACAGTGGTCTAAAGCACCCTGTTATTAAGATCAGCTTCCTGCAATTACTGCAGGTTCGAATCTCGCCAGGCTCAAGATTGACTCAGCCTTCCATCCTTTCTAAGACAGGTAAATTGAGGACCCAGTTGTGGGGGCAATAAGCTGACTTTGTATAAATATACAAAAGGATGAAGGCTATTGCTTAGCGCATTGTAAGCCGCCCTGAGTCTCCGGAGAAGGGTGGCATATAAATCAAATTAAAAAAAAAATTGTCCCAAATATATCTTTGCTCACATAATGTAAAAATGCAACTTCATTTACAGCGAGGATGCAGCTTTAAGTACTGTATCAGCATATACTAGAACTTACATTGGTTTTATGTAAAGACCTGAAAATTATGAAAGACAGAGGAATTAGGACAATAGTTTGGAATTATGACTGAATCCTGCAATTTGGAGATATTTTGCAATTGTCTGTCTTCATTTTTTAGCTCATGAAGGACTTGTACATTGCCATCTTACCTTTATTGGAATATTGGAATACTCTTTATTGGCCAAGAGGACACACAGGAATTTGTCTCCTGTGCATAAACATTTAGAATGATTACAAAGTTAGCATTTTTTTTAGTAATCACTCGGGGACATTTAACCAGCATAGGCTTTGCTTAGGCAATTATTTTAAAAGGAATATTATCTTGTTTTCTAGAAAAATGTTGTTTATTTTCTAAGGCATTTGCTATTTCAATCCCCTGCTATTCTGTAGTTCATAATTCTAGCTAGATTGTCAGGAGAAACAAATAATATCAGAACACCAAATGCAAAAGAAGAAAGCTTTGGGTAAAAATCTCTAAATAATCTCCAGGAAACCAGTTATATGAGGACCCAGTTTGTGGGGGCAATAACCTCTATAAAATATACAAAAGTATGAAGGCTATTGCTTAATGCCTTGTAAGCCGCCCTGAGTCTCCGGAGAAGGACAGCATATAAATAAAAAATAAAAAAAAAATTCTTTCTGACTTGAGTCTTAAATTATGCTAAACTGTGGTTTGTAGAATAATTTGTGTTCCCTGTGACTTTACATTGATGTCTCTTCGTGCTCATTTACTTTCAGCACAATCTAAACATATTTTGTTTAAAACAAGACTCACGGAATTCCTTGGAATTTATTCTGATATAGGTACCTGAATGTCCAGCAGATGATATCAATTTGGTTGGCTCTAGCATCAGGGGTGTCATACTGGCGGCCCATGGGCCGGATGCATCACGCATAGGCCATGCCCACCCTGAAGGGGGAAAATGTCATGAAATGTCATGTGACGACAACGTGACCGTGAGTTTGACACCCGAGCACTAGCTAATAGTTAGAAAGGAGATCCCCAGGAAAACCCAAACTTGAGAAAACCAAAGATTGAGAAAACCCATCCTGGGTGAAAGTTACACTATTATCCTACCCTGTTTTCCCAAAAATAAGTCATCCCCTTTTCAGGCTTTTGAGCGCATATGCTAAAATAAGCCTCCCCCCTGAAAATAAGCCCTCCCTGAAAATATTTAAACGCAGAACTGGAAATCAGGTAAGATGGCAAGAGTAGCCCCATCTTGCTCCACGTGCCCCAAAATAATAAGACCTCCCCAAAAATAAGGCCAACCACTTATTTCGGGGTTCAAAAAAATATAAGACAGGGTCTTATTTTCGGGGAAACACGGTATTGGATTTTTCTTTTCAAAATTAGTGGCATTAATCAAAAGAACAAAGAACTCTCAGCTTCCCGGTGATGAAATTGGTATGTTTTCAATCTACCAAAGTTCTTAAAAGATTTAACATACTGGTATGTTTTCTCCTGTAGGATGTATAATGAAGTTACACAGAAGAGATGTGAATATTACCGCAAAGCTGCCTAATTTGTTTCTGTTTTCTTGTGGTGCCTTTAAAACTTTCTCTAGGAAGGTTTAAGTTATTTCAGGATGGGGAAAAGTTGGTTGTTGGATTTGACACTGATGGGCCAAGAACAAGCTTCACAAGTCCTAATCTGTAGAAATCAGCCTCTATTTTGATCTCCTCACTTTCTTTACTCTTATTTTTTTTAATGTCCTCTTGGGGGAAGAATATAATTATTACTTGTTAATATCAGATGATATAATCTTACCTACTATATATTGGAATGAACACACACTAATTTACTGCTTTTAACTTTCTTCATAGGGCCAAAATGGTGGCTTTCTCAAAAGAATATGGCTATGTGATTCTCACTGGTACTGCCAGTTTTGTCTTGATAACACACCTTGCAGTAAATGTGGCGAATGCACGCAAGAAATATCATGTGGAGGTAAGCATGGGTGATTTTCCCAGAATCCCCCTACTTAGCTATTTCTCGAGGCAGAAACTCTAGCATTTCCTGAAAGGAAATGTGTGTATGTAGAATTATGTAAAATACTGTGCTTCACCTTTCAGGAAACTATTTTAAAAAATAATTAAAATATTGTATAATAATAAAAAATAAACAGATAAAACAAGTAACCAGTTTAAAAACTTTCATAGCCCATGGGGAAGGAATTCAGAACCATTAAAAGGCCCAGTGAGAATCTATCAACCTGATTTATACAGGGGGCCTTAGCCCTCTAAGGTGACTTTAAGGGCACAAATTTTGCTCCAACAAATTGGATCCATACTACTTACAATTTTAAAAGATAAAGTGAATAAAGATTTGGGCTGCAGAAATGGGTAGAGTCAGTAAGTGGCAATGAAGAGACAAGGCATTTCTCAAGGCATTACAACCACATTTGGGGCTGCAATTTCCATTGCTTAGCAAAGTACCGGTAGTTAAAACATGATAGCATGAGACTATAACTTAGCAACAGCAATCCTACAGTGCCAGCTGCCCTGATTTATGGATCACTAAGTAGCAAGTGGATTGTGTCCCACATAAGCCCTGGAAGGCCCAGTGCAAGCTGCATGCAAGTTGGGAGGTGCTGATGTACATCATGAGATCAAGGAGTCAAGAGAAAGAATATGTTGCAGCTCAAGGGCTACGTGGCATGCCATGGCTCTGGGACTGCAAGAAACTCCTAAGCTGCAACACAACGCAAAGTCTTAACTCCAGTCTCATGAGGAAACTGCTATGTATGATCTGGGGAAGAAAGCCTCTGGCATCTAGGAGCTACCTCATGAAGGGGCATGATAGCAGTGTGCGGTATCTTAAGCAGCTGCCTCAAAGAAGAAAGGGGGTGGTGGTGGTCAAGATATTCTCCAAAGCACCTGAAGGCAGGACAAAAAGCAATGGATAGAAACTAATCATGCAGAGAACCATCCTAGCACTAGGGAGGAACTTCCTGACAGTTATGGCAATCAGTCAATGGAATGGCTTCCTTTTAGAAGTTAATGGTTTCACCATCACTGGAGTTTTTAAAGAAGAAATTGAACAGCCATTTGTCTGAAATACTATAGGGTCTCCTGCTTGAGCAGGGGTTGGATTAGAAAATCTCCAAGATCTCTTCCAACTGTATTCCATATCTTGTATTTAGGCTGGGCATGCATGCTTTGTCAGCAGTGGGGGAAGCAAAGCTCAACTAGAGTGTCAGAGGTCACAAAGTTCAGGCTGCCAGAAGGGTATATAGATGGGGGAGTTAAAGCACCTCTGCAGTTATAAGTGCAGGCAGGCTGGCAGTCAAATATACGAATCTTGAGCACATGACTGTGGGATGCTGCAACTTTGGGGGTTGTTCGTAAGTCTCTTCATTCAACGCCATTGTAACTTTGGTCACTGAACAAATCTGAAATCAAGGAATACCTGTATCCAAACCCCAACTCTTCAGTAGTCCTTGTTGAATGATCACTTGTTCAATGACTGAAGTTACGACGATGCTGAATATGGGAGACTTGTAGTTGCAGCTATTGCTGCATCCCTGGGTCACATTGCAATTTGAGCATTTAGCCACCAGCTCATAATAATAACTCTTGCAGGGTCCTGCAGTCACATAATCACGATTTGCAACATTCCCTGCCAACTTCTGACAAAGTCAAACACAAATGGCAATTTGGTGATGTCATATTTTAAACTTGTTTAGCAATGGAGTTGCTTATCCTAATTATCCTAATTATGTGAGGATTACCTGTAAACAAATAATAAAGAGCCTTGGTAGTACAGTGGTTTAAAGCACCCTGTTATTAACACAGCTGCCTGCAATTACTGCAGGTTCGAATCTTACCAGGCTCAAGGTTGACTCAGCCTTCCATCCTTTCTAAGGTAGGTTAAATGAGGACCCAGTTTGTGGGGGCAATAAGATGACTTTGTATAAATATACAAAACTATGAAGGCTATTGCTTAACGCATTGTAAGCCGCCCTGAGTCTCCGGAGAAGGGCGGCATATAAATCAAATTAAAATAAAAATAAAAATAATGAAAATGAGAGTTGCTGTTAGCTAAAATAAGGTAATTGTAAAATTTGTATCAGTGAAAAGGAGGTGCTTGAAATTGAAAGGTCAGGATTCCACTACAGAGAAAACATCCTGATGGTGGAAGCTACATTAAATAGCAAGGTTCCCATGAGCAGCATTTCCTCTGTATGTGATCTAGTTTACATCTTGTCATATTTAACTTATCTTCTATACTATGGGAATTATGCCTAATACACAGGCAGCTGTGTATTCTGCCCTTAGCAAATCATACCTGGACTGCCAAATTCACATTTGTTACTCAATCATGAAGGAACTGTACCAGGTTTGAAACACCTTCAGCAGTTCTGTTTTTAGACCAAAGATTGAATGTTTTCATTTCTGTGCCCCAGGATGATGCACACATTCTTACAGATGGCTCATGCCATGGATGGTAGAAGTCTTCCCTACTTGCAGTCTCCCCTCCCCTTTCTTGGAAATCTTGGGGCGAGAGGGCGGGTGGAATAAAAGTGAGAATACCTTTTACCCAAGAATCTACTCTTGATACTGCAGTTGAGAAGAGAGCTAGCGGGTATATCTACTCCACTTTCAATGCACTAGCTAAGAAACCTAACTAACAACAAGCAGGATTGGGAAATATTTGACCAGTAGACATGATTTTTAGTAGTCAAGTGGAAGAAGAAGAACTGCTACCTATATTCTTTCAGTTTTCATGTCTCCTCAGATCTAGGTGAAAGTGTTCTTTTGTTTCTAAGCTTTTCCACCATCTCCAAGTAAATGCTGAAGTATGTATCTGTTGCAAAATTTCCATGTCTCCTCTAGCCACCCAACTCACACACGGTAACTCTGGGCAGCATACAACAGTTAACAATTCACAGTTTAAAATCCACTATTTTAAAAAAAAACTCCAAATCTTCACCCCATTTTGTATAACATATTTGATAACTGGATAGAAGAGAAAATTTCAGTTTCTCTTCAGGTAAAACTTTCCTGTTCTGGGCTAAGTATGTGAATGGTTGTTGATCAAATCCAGGCAATTATGTCTGAAACTGATACTTAGGATGTACCATATTTTTCGGAGTATAAGAGACACCTTTTCCCCCCTAAAAAGGGGTGAAAATTTAGGTGTGTCTTATATACCGAATGTATGCCCACCCACTGGCCCCCACCCTTTGGCCTATGCCTCGCAGCAATTACCTCCTTGCAAGCAAACAGCAAGAAAAAACAGTTCCTTTCAGCTTCAGCATAGACTAATTAGCACAAATTGATTAGATCGGCCTCCCGACTCTCAGCTGATTGGCTCTCAGCTGTTTTGTGCAGGCCTTTGCTGCTTGCTTCAAGGAAGAAAATTGCTGGAGCAGATTTTTTTTCCCTTGTGCTAATCAAGCTATGCTGAAAACAAAACAAAGTAAAGCAGGCTGTTTGCTATTTGGTGTAACGAGGCAAAATTAGGCAGAGGTAGAGGAAGATTACTTTTTCTTCTTTTTCCTCACCAAAAAAGGTAGGTGCAAACAATGGGAAATTTAGGGCGAGGAGAGTTCAAGATTTTAAACATAAAAGAAAAAAGAGAAAGAAAAAGGCAAAAATAAAAATGGGAAGGGAGAAAAAGAAATGAAAGAGAAAAATGTTATACATATTTAGAATTGAAATATGAATAGTAAGAAATAAATGGGAAATCATGATTGTAAAAATGAAATGAATAATAATGGGAATATTTGTCTTTGTATTTTTGAAATCAAGACAATAAGTTTTTATTTTTTTATTTTTATTTTTAGAAATATGAGTAAGTATAAACTAACAATTGAAATATCTTTAATGCAGTGGTGGGATTCAAATTTTTTAACAACCAAGCGTGGTTTGGTGGGTGTGGCTGGGTGGTCATGTGATTGGGTGGGCGTGGCCAGGTGGTCATGTGATTGGGTGGGCATGGCCAACTCGACATCACTCATGTCAAGGGGTGCTTTGCCCAGCCCCTCCCCTCTCAGCTACTCCTTGTCACCCCCGGCCTCAACGTATCTATAGTTCTGTAAAATGTTGCTCACTTTTTTCGACTTTATTATCTGCATCTACATACTATAGATGCACTTTCATGGATCACTGAAAAGAGGAAATGGCTGAGACTTCCTGTTTGCTGCTGGCCGCCGCCAGACGTTCCTTTGGGATCGTCAGCTTCCACTGCCTGTCAGAGCCGCCTTCACAACGGAACGGCGGCTCGAAAAAACTCCATTCCCATGAGGAAACGGAGATAGAGCCGGCAGGGGTGGGTAGAACTCTCTGCAGAGTCCCAAAAGTTTTTCTTTTACTTTTGGGATGGAGCGGATGAGATGCCCCATATCCCCAGCCGCTGCTCCGGGCTTTGGGAGACCTCTGCTAATGCAGAGCCAGGCGTCAAAAGCAAGCCTGCGAATTTGACAGATTACTCAAAGAAAATGTGAGCTGGACCTGTAATACTGAAGCGCAAGTATTTTACTTATCTTTTAAAAATTACTTAAGAGAATAGAGGAAGAGAAAGAGGAAAAAAGTTTCTTTTTAAAATGGCGTCTGCCGCGGCTGGAGAAGAGTTTGAGAGGGAAAGTTCTTCCGTTTTTTATTATTACAATGTAGCGGAATAAATACCACTGGCTACATTTGTAGACAAAACTCCGCTCCTGTTTTTGTTTTTCTCTTTTTCCCCTGGAGGCATTGTTGCTGGCTGGAAGTCTTTTGTCTTGTTTTTTTTTTTTTTTCTTCTAACAAAGCCTGCTTAGGCGGAAACATGGCACTGAGGCTTGTGAAGTCAGACAAACAAATAGGTGGGGGGGGATTCCCCCACTAAGAATTTAAAGGAACAAGTTTTAACTCTTCAGTCCCAGAAACCTGATTTTAATATAATAGAATTTCTCTTAGAGGAGATTGAAAGAAGGGATGAGATTGTGAATCAGCAACTTGAAAAAT